TATATATATATATATAGATATAGATATATATATATATATAGATATAGATATCTATGTGTGTGTGTGTGTGTGTCATTTGAATAAAACAACCATATTTGAGCTTTAACAATCATAATTAGTGGCTACAAGAAAATAGTCGGCTATAAATGCCATAGTTGACGACTACAATAGTCGTATTTGGTTGCAACAATTATTGATGGAGATTGATAACAGTTCGTGTCATTTTTTTTTCCAATTATGCATGTTATCACGGAGATATAGTTCATTTTGCCTTGCCCCCGGGATAACCTAATGATGATTGAGGCCATAAGGAGTCTTTTCATGGTGTAACATGCCATGAACATGTCATGAAACTTTAACAAAAACCATTGTATTGGCCCATGTCTAGTTGGACCCTACAAGATTGTAGATGTGGAACATCATCCCAATTAGGGTTATTATAGTAAAATTCTAATCCATGTAGCATTGACACTTATAAAAATGTTTTGTATATATCAGAAATTGACACTTGTTGGAATACCCCGACACTCAACATATATGTCTGATTTTTTTCAAGAGGCGAACACGTTTGAGACACATCTCAACATTGCATTGGACGTGAGGTTAACACTATTTCAAGAAAATGGGACACTGAAACGAGAAAATACCTCATATTCGAAACCATCCCATCTCTTGTCATGTTGAAATTCCCTCTAACATTCGTCAAACTCGATTATTGAAGGTGCATTCAATATTCGTCAAAATTGAGCATTAGTAATTCTATCTTTGTAATCATAGATTTTTTAAAATTTGAGTAGACAAGTTGGATAAACTTTTTTGAAATATATTATATCTAATTTAAAAAAATAATTTTCATAAGCATGAGGTTTTATTATATAACTTAAATTTATGAAGTTAAATTTTATTCTTTCATAATTTGTGTTGTGATATTTTTATTTAATAAGAATGGAAAGTTATTTTTTTTATATTAATAATTAAGTAAATATAAAAACGTGTCCATGACGTGTCGTGTCATATTTTTTTTTCCAATTATGCTAGTCTCAGTATTTTGTTGTGTCGTGTTCTTGTCCCCGTGTTTGTGCTTCATAGATTCTCATTATTTTGTTGAATTTTCTTAAACTTTAGGGGGCAGTGGATGAGGCTTATGGTTTTGGAGTTGGATGACTATTGATGGAACCCAAGCCCTATTTACTTTGAGTTGAGACCTAAGGAGCCTGTTTTCAAGAATCGACCTAAATTGATTACCTAACTCAGGGTAGAAGGTTGTTATGTTTTCTAATTGTTCAAGCTAATGATGATTTCATCGTGCCTATGATATTCAGTAAAAATGATTGCTATGCCCAAGGGGAGGTATAACTATTAAGGTTGGGCCTACAAAAATGATTAAAACTTGACAATTCAGACCTATGGTTAATGAGCTTAGATGTTTCTTGTCAGATCAACCCAGATAAATGGTCTTGGTTGCTGCAAACTAGTATGCCTAGTTATATATATATATATATAATATATATATATATATATAGAAATCCTTATTGAATTTTATTAATAACAAGAAAAGATTACAAGTGGTCCATATGAAGTTCCACTACACCCCACATAAAACTCACACACAACAACAACAACAGCAACAAAATCTTAATCCCACTACGTGGGGTCAGCTACATGAATCTTTTTTCTCCATTGCGTCCTATTTAGTGTCATATTTTCAAAAACCTAGGAACCTCCATCGAAATTACAACTCACACAAGAAAGTAAAAAATATCAAGGAACGACTCTAACAAAAGAAAGAGAAAGTTTATCACTTTGTAAAAGAAAATTAAGCTCTGCAGGAATCCTTCTAGATACAACCACCTTCTGATTGGAACACTTCCATCTAACTGCCCAATGAGCAGCCTTATTGCCTTACCTGTGATTATGAGACCATGTAACCTGCAATGAAGACATTAGAGCAAAAATTCTCTTCATATAAAGTATCAGATTCCAAGGATACTTCTCATTTAGAAAAGAAAATTTCCAAATCAGAAAAGAATTAGTTTCAATGTGCACCCTATTCCAGCCATAGTGTTTAGATATCATAAGAGCTTTCTATATATATATATATATAAATGGAAATATACATTTATGGGTTTGAGGCACCTCTGTGCATTTTCTAAATGTTTTACCAAAAAGTAAATGGGCACCATTTTTTTTTCCTTGGGTTGTGTGGAGTAATGCTAATTTTGAAGGTTTATTTTGATTTTTGGTTTGATTGTGTGGATTTTTTGAATTATGGCTAACAACTTCTTGCTATCCTGAGACATTCTCATGTTATGCTCGGGAATTAATAAAACTAGCTCTATCTAGTTTTGAAGTTACCATCAGTTTTCAGATCAATGTTCAATAACTCATGTTACTCGCATGCAAATTTTGTTTGATTCAGTTCAGTTTTCTATGTAATGGGGCCCCACTATTCTAATCTTCATTTTAATTTTGTATCCTAGTCTCATTGAATGCTCCTATTCTTTTTTCCCAGTGCCCCTCAATTTCTTTTACTTCCAATTGCAGCATCACTTCAATTTTTGCATTCTAGATTGGAGAGAAATTTGGATTGGACAAAAGTTTGACTTCATTTGGGGTCAAAATCAGAAATGGGCCTAAGTGCAACTTAATCAAAATTCCTAAACCAACCCAGGAGGTACTGAATCGATTGGATCATGGTTAACCATTCTGATCTCAACTTATATGCAGGATTAGTCCTAGAGTCTAGGGTTTTGCAGGCCTAGTCCTAGAGTCTCTCTATGCTACCCTTTTTTTTTATTTGATCATCATTTAGCAAATTGGAAAATTAGCATATAGGGTAGGATTGGGATGTTCTCAGTGAACCAAATATGGCCCTGTAATATAGCTTGACATTTGTGCAAGCGTCTACCTTCTATTCCCGAATACAACTCTCTGATATCGTGGCATTACTTGTTCCCATTTGACTTCTCTATTTTTGTTTTTGATTTTTTTCGTCAGGCTTGGAAGTCTTTTAATATGTTAAAGTAGGATGTTCCTATTCCACTAGTCCTTTTTTTGTAGTTTATTGGTGTTTCAGTTTACATTATTACATTTTAATTCAGTTTTTCAAGAAGATATACTTATTTCTTTCTATTTATTTGCTAAATCCTTTTCAAAGGTTAAATCAACAACACAGAAGATGAATGGGCCTGAAACACAGATAAGTAATCCTTGTAGTTTGTGTGGAATGGACAAGCTGTTTTTTCAACCTCCTATAAGATATTGTTCAGCATGTATGAAGAAAATCAATCCTCGCGGGATTTACTATTGTCTGAAAGACACTGACACTTCTGCTGGTGCACTGAAGTCATTTTGTAATTCATGCTATGCTGCTTCTAGAGAAAAGATCAAATTTGCTAAACAATACATTCTAAAAGCACATCTAGAACAGAGAACCAACTATGCTGAAACTGATGGCACATCTGAAAAAGTAAGTTTTTCTTTAGCCACAATACATTTTTTTTATTTTAGAATCCATGTGTGACCCTTGATGCTAAAATTGTACTTTGATAGCCAGCTTGTGCAGTGTCAGAAATGTAAAGAGTGGCTGCATGAAATTTGTGCCCTTTTTAATGGAAAGTTGGATAAAGTAAACTCTAGCAAAGTTGAATTCGTCTGCCCAATCTGCTGCCTAAGAGATATAGAAAATGGTGTACGTGAACCTCTATTGCGGCGGCTGGTTGTTGGAGCAAAGGAACTTCCCAGAACTAAGCTGAGTGATCATATAGAAGAATGGCTTTTCATGCGTCTTAGAGACGAGAGACAAGAACGGGCAAAAAAATTGGGAAAGAACATTAATGAGGCACATCTCTCTCCTCTTTCATTTATAATTCCTTATTTATTTTTTCTCTTGAGCACATTCATATGTAATTCCGTTTTTTGCAAAAGGCAGGTACGATATTTCTATTAATGAAGATATCTAATGCAACTCCTATCATATTGAGTCTTTCTGAAGCTCAAAGAACTGTACAGCAAGGATAATGAATAAAATCACAAATTTTTATCCGGTTATTTTCTATCCATATGTCATGTTCATATGTGACTTTAAATATTTAGGCAGTTTAGTATTTTCTTTTTGTAGGTTTGATGACATCAGAAGAGCAGGCAAAATGGGTCTACTGATAGAGAGAGATTTAGGTTAAGAAAAATATTTCAATCAATTCATCAATCGATGAAATGGAAGCATGAATCTCCTATTCATGGAAACATGGTGGCAAAATGAAATCAAAATTATGTATATACAAAAGTTAATCTTATTTAATAATACCCATTTTAAATTTATAATTATCTATAAGGATAATGCATCATATTTTTCAAAACCATAAGCGGGATCATGGAATCCTATTGAATCTTTGATTCTTGAAGAACCATAGGATGTACTCGCATTAAAGATGGTTCTGTGAGAAAGTACGAAGATACTTTAGGTTGGCTTTTTCTTAGGTCTATGATGGGATTACGAATTCCTTAACTAGTGTTCCGACCTTTGTGGAGCATGATGGATGCTAAACAAGAGCATCGTCTAGTCAAATGGATAATCAAATTATGGTTGTGAACAAAACCATGAAGAGTTGCGATCTTAAGACTTGATTGCACCCCCTACATCTATTTTACTAAACCATAGTGAATTGTGATGTCAGAACAATGAGGAGCTGTTTGGTAGCCGATTTTAAGCATGATTTATATAGGATCCGTGCTAAATTGTGCCAAGGCAAAAAAAAACATTTGTAAATCCTTGAGCTTATTAAATCCCGTTTTCTCTCCATTTTGCCTTAAACATCTAAGATTTAGTAAATCATGATGGAAGACAAATTTACAGGATTTAGAGAAGCTAAAGCGCGGGGGAAGAGAGAGGGGAAGGGGGGAGAAAGATGAGGGTTATTTTCCTCAATGGTTTCTAGTATGAACGGCTGAGAAGGAGGAGAAAGATGGGAGTTTCAGAGGCCTTCCAAAGTCGTAATTTTGTAGTTGCCTTCCCAGTCTTAACTGTGACTTGTATCGGGAGCTTTTGGTCACGAAGGCGATGGTTTTAGGCAAAACCAGCTAGGAGCTAGGTTTTCAGGAACGACAAGGGAAGGGGAAGATGGTTTTGTTGCTATAAGGTAATCTTATTTAAGTTTATTTTATTGTTTAATAACTAATAATTAGTTAATTTATTATAAAATTAATCATAAATAAATAATTATATA